ATATATTATGAAATGATATAATGATAGTGCAAAGGTTCCGAGAAGTTATGTAAAGAAAATGAATAAACATAAAAGATGAGCAAGTTGAGACAAAAATTGAGCAAAGCTCTGAGAATTTCCAAAGATAAAACAAAAAGTAGAAATAGTTAATTTCAACCGATTGACAACCGGTTGAATAAAATAATTCGGTTCGGTTAACCGATTAAAAATTTTTCTTGGTTCAAATCACTACATGGAATAACTTACGTAGATATGCGCAGATATGAAGAATAATTTATAGACTATAATAAATGCTTAGAAATTAATCCAAATGATGTAGTAGTTTTATGTAATCGTGCAGAAACATATCGAAAGATAGGCAAATTTGAAGAAGCACTTGCAGATTTAAGTAATTTATTAAAAATTAACCAAATGATCCAATGGCTTTAAGTGTTCGTAGGACAACTTAACAAAATATGAACAGATTCGAAGAATTACTTGTAAATTTAAATAAATCTACCCAAATAATGCAGAAGCTTTAAGTAATCGCGGACTAACTAACTTACAATAAAATAGGCAGATATAAAGAATCACTTGCAGATTTTGATAAATCATTAGAAATTGACCCGAGGTCTATCAAAAGATGGGCGAATATGACAAATCACTTGCAGTTTAAATAGATCATTAGAAATTGTTCCAAATAATGAAATAGCCTTAAGTAATCGTAAAATCACTTGTAGATTTAAGTAAATCATTAAAAATTAATCCAAATCATAAATTGATCTGAATAATATATCAGCATTAAATATTCATAGAGAATTTATCGAAAACTTTTAGATTTAAATAAAACATACGGAATAAAATCAGAGAAATTTACTTAAAATTTGAGACTTGTACAAATTGTAAGCAACACAATACTGGATTTTACTATTGTCATTCTTGTGATTCTGTTATCATGTGTGATAGTCCTAAAAAAAATGCAAAGTTTTATCTTAAAATATCTTATAATCGCAAATACCATATCCTGCCGTGAATAAGCACCCACCTTTTGCAATTTTCATATCCAAATTTCTCGTGATTAGATCTATATAATTTTGGTATTGTTTTGATAAGTTGATTCGAATAGTACCAAAATTTGGGTGCTTATTCTTGGCAGTATACGGTGTCAAAAATAGACAAGTGGAAATTCTGAATTAGATAATTTTATAAAAAATTCACACTTAAGTTCTAAATATTTTCATAAAGTAATCGAATTTATACCTTATGACAAATTAGTAAAGGTGGTTTTAGCACAGTTTATTCTGCAACCTGAATTGATGCTCTAAGTTTAATAATTATTTATTGGTCTAAATGGACTAAGTATTTACTATAAGCTGTTTACTTCTCATTTAGCTTCTTATCCACATTAGTCTGTAAGATTATTATCTGCCAAGGATACTTCTAAATTATGCAGATTAGTATGATCAGATCCATATAGTATGGGAAATACTCCTGTTTTTTAATGTCTGTTCTGACGTTATGTATCATTAAAGTTAGTATTAGAAAATTATAGTGGACTGGTATGATATGTTTTTTTAAAAAGTATTTACACTCTATACTATATACATCTTGAAATTTCTTATTTTATAGCGTCTCATATAGTTAGAAATCAAAGTGAAAATGCCTGATGATACACAGTTTCGTGGTAACGCCAAATGAGTAAATACGAATAAGGAAGGTCAACAAACACACCGCGGACCAGTAAGGACCATGACAAATAACAACTGAAAAACGAAAGGCAATTGTTAAACACCTAAAGTATTAACAAGAGGAAGGTCGACAGATGCACCGTGGACCAGTAAGGGCCACATACTGTAACTGAAAAACAAATAGCAATTGCTAAACACCTTTCATAAGAAAACTTTTAGCAATTCTTAAAAGAAGCTAAACAACTTTTACGAGTGACGAAACCCTTGTCATTGATGATTAACGAAACCATTTTCGTCAAGTGACGAATTGACGATTGACGAAACCTACAAAATAAGTTGTACGTATACCCGATTTAAAACTAATACACTATTCTGTATTGGATGCCCGACATACTAAATTAAGCTTTCATTCATCCATTCCTCTAGCTTACTTTAAACAATTCAAGAGCCTAGTTTATTTAAAAAAATTTTTTATGTGTAAAATTTTTTACTGGGTATCCAGGTTGTGAGACTTAATAAAATTTTTTTTATTGAAAATTTTTTTTTTAAAAAGAAATTAAAATCCGGGTTGGCGGGTCATAAGAGGTCAGTTGGTAATATGAAAACCAAAATATAAGTTTGTATTTTTTTTTATTTTGTTAATATCAAATATAGAAAAAAGATTAATTATTACAAGCATTATATAATTCAAAATAATTAAGCAAAAGGATTTTTCTATATAGTATTATTAATTTGATATAATATTATATCTCTAATTTTTTATTTTAAAGCTAACTTAAATAAAACTACTATTAACTAAAGAGAAAATTAGAAGAAAATCTTGAATTATATAACTATTATAAAAATTTATCATTTCAATACTATTAGAAAGTTTTATATAAAAAAATTTACAAGCTAATAAATATATACAAATTATTTTATTATATGTAATTAGAAAATAAATAATTAAAATATTAAAAAAAAAATAAAATAAAATAAATAATTATATACAAAGTAGATAAATAAATATTTATTAATAAATTTGAATTTATTAAAAAAAGTTAACAAACTTTACAAACTACAAAAACTAAGTTTCTTGAATAAGACCCAGGTATGACTATAATATTTAATATGATATATCCCCAGATATAGTACCCGGTTCTTCACACAGTACCAATGGGTACCATTCAATTTTAAAAATGGAATTCTTGAATAAGACCCTGGGTATTGTAAGCAGTGACATATGGTAAACTTTTATTTTTTACTACTAAAAATCCTGTATCTATTCAAGTTAAAGAGTTAGTAATAAAAGTTTACCTAAATCTAATATAATAAAGCAGTTTAAGCAAAAAATATTTCTAGTTATATACCTTTATTCTATAATATAACTTTGCATAGTTTAATAAAATAATAGCATATTTTGGTAAAATATAAGTTTTTTTTAAAAAAATAGGTTGATCTATAGTACTGTATAGGTAGGCATGTAGAATTATTATAAGATTATAATATAAAATTATAATATAGAATTATTATAAAATTATAATATAAAAATTGGGTTTACCACAAAATCCCGAAAGACAGATTCCCGAAAGGACCTAATACCGACAAAGTTAGCCGGAATTAGTTATAATGCTGGTCAATTTAGTCGGTATTATTTTAACGGTAAACCCATAAAAATTAGCTATTTTGAACTAATTTAAGCAAATTTATGAATAGTTAGAATTAGGATAAAGATTAGAGTTTAAATTAACTCAAAATAGGTAGTTTTTATAAATTATAATTTCATATTGCTGAACGACGGTTACACTTAAAAGAAGCTTTTACTAAGTTGAGGGAGTAAAAGTACTCTAAACTGTATAAATTCAATTGTATAAAATTGGAGGAAAAAGGCCGTTCGGACTTTCAATTATATATATTTTGTATATATACAGTTAGCCGTCTATGGAAATCTATCATGATGATAAATTTTCCATAGGCAGCTAACTGTACAGAAAATATAATTGGGCAGCACGTACCATAAATTACTAAAGTTCAATAAATAACTAATTATACTGATGTCCATTGTAATTAATTATGCTTATGTCCAATAAACAATTAATGCTGATGTCCAATAACGTATAAATCCTCATAAAAAACAATTAAGTACAAAATTAAAACTGAGAAATAATTAATCATTACGCTAATACAAATAATTGCAAGTAGCAATTATGCTAATATCTTTAATGAATATCTAACTATGCTGGTATTCATTAGCAATAAACCAGTAAAACAGTAAAATTGTTACGGTAATCCCCGTTAATATGAGATATTGATGATCTTGACGTAACTATTGGAATATTATTACTAGAAATAGCATTTTTTAATAAGTTAATTAATAATACATTTACATTAACTAAGAGAGACATCGAGTAATAAATGCGAACGCATTTTTTTATTTGGAGATTATACGTAGCCAAAATTTGAAAAATTTGACTACCTCATGAGAGTCATTTAATTGACTTCATATATATCGATATCGATATGTAATCAATAGAATATTTGACTTAATATGTTAACTTAGTCAATCCCCATTTTCGTCCCTCAGACTTATTATTTTGATTTAAACAATGATACGTATACGTAGCAAAATATATACGAATACTTTTTAGCTAAAAATTATTTTAATATGTAATGATAAATTTAAAATAGGTTACGTTACCGAAATTTAAAATGGGTTGTGATAGTTGGAAAATGGGTTAGACGCATTGTTACTATAGATCGGAGGGTTCAATCTTAGAAAATCAATAATAAATTTGGACCCTAAGCTTAAATTTAGGGACCAATAAGTAGTTAAATCTCCGTAATGGTAATATATGTATTTCTGGTACGTACGTACTTAATGTATTAAAATTATCCAATAATCGGTCCGAGCCTATCACAATCCTACAGTTTTTAAAGATTATAAAAAAATACTGATCAAACCCATTTAAGATTCATTCAAGATTAACTTTTTCCTTTGTATTTATGTGATTCTAAAAAATGTTCTTTGAAAAAATCTCCTATGGGCTCACATGGGTCAGTTAAATTCTATAATTTTGATTGATGCAAAAATTGTCGATTTTAAATAAATTTGGAACCGTTTTTGTCGTGATTTACGAATCGAACATCATGTTTAATAATTTAATATATATTACATATAACTCACTCGCGTTTGTATTTAAACCGTAGCTTTTGTCTCTGCATTTTCATCTCAATCTCTTCAAGATTACGATTCCATTCTCTTCAAGTTTATTTTCTTTGACATCTTAACTTGGAAAAATATTTATTATTCTTCCTGACTCATTTATATCATTTTCTCAAATATATATATACAAAATGAAATTTAATCTTGGAATCGCTTTAACAATCCTTTTATTCTTTTTTTTAACCTCACCTATCGATGCCAATAACGATGGCGGTAAAAAACATGATATCTGTCATGGTCTAGAAAAAGGAGATGGTACACAAATTAAATCTGGGTTTTGCAGCAAGACATTTCTAGGACAAATTCCATCAAATAAACATATGACCTCCAGTTTAATCACTAAACCTAGAAATGAAGAAAAATTGAAGGCTCACAAAGATTTTACTGTCGTTGTTAAGATGAAAAATATTGAAACTGGACATTTTAGCGATCCGGAAAAAGATTACTACACTGAACCGCAAATACTTAATAAGGCCGGAATAGTTCAAGGACATTCTCATGTCACTATCCAACGTTTGGAAAGCGAAAACAATCCTCCAAATGCTGAAAAGTTTAATTTTTTCCTAGGATTAAATGACAAAGCTAAAAATGGTGAATTGATTGCAGATGTCAAAGGTGGTTTACCTGCTGGTAGATATAGAATTTGTTCAATGTCCTCATCATTCACCCATCAGCCACTCGTTATGCCAGTTGCTAAACGCGGTTCTCAAGATGATTGTATCCGTATTACTGTCAAAGGAAACCAAAAACGTAAAGCCCGCAGCTTAAATTGATTTTTTCTTTTTTTAGAATAGTTTATAGAAATTTTAAACATTAATTTAATAATTGGCATCCTTAGAAATCAATGTTGAAAAAACATTTGACACATTCTCGATATATTTTTAATATGATAAAGATGTATATATTAGTTTTAAACAATATGTATTAAAAAACAATAAAAGCATAAAAAAAAACTTGTTACGATTATAAAATGTTAAGAGTTATTATATATTGTCGCGTGGTTAATCAATATAAGGTATGTTATACAGCTCAGGTCAACAGCAGTGTATAAAATCCGAATTACAAACTAAAGTTTTATATGTACTGTAAAGCTAAAATAACATGTGCACTGAGCACATTGTGCACATTGATTATACACTTTTATTTGTTTGTTTATTTGAGGAGAATAACGATAACGATAAGGATAGCGATTAAAAATTTTCTTTATTTAGAAATGACTTGTGCAAAACCTGAATTTCTCGTTTTTCTCTCACTTTATACATTCGTATTACACAATAATCAATACATATTATATAATTATATATATACTTAATAATATCTTTATTACGATATCGTTTAATTAAGAAGCAAATATTTTAACATAATATCAAACTATGAGAAATGGTTTTACATAATGTATAAAACTACAATATCTTCATTTTATTATAAGATTCTTGTAACTTTAAATATGAGAATTAATCAGATACTAAATGGTTTCATAATCTCAACTGAAAAGTCCCTGGTCCTTTCTTTAAAATCAAACTTTGATCATTTAACAAATCGATGAAAGATTGAAAATTGTCATATCGAACATTTGAATCTAATATATAAGTAAGATTAAAATAATTTAATGGTTTGTTACGACAAAAAAGACAAGTTACTCATTGATAATATAATTACCTGTAGCAATTTCTTGCATTTCTTGAATAGTAAATACGTAATTTCCTTTTACGTTCCCAAATCTTTGAAGCTCACTTAAAAATCTGTTTAAATTAGGTGAAAAATGGTAAATTTATTTAAAATATAATGGAACGCGAATATAAAAGGATGCTAAATACCTCTTTACATCTGTTTGCTTCCCAGATCTCACAACTAAATAAAATATTTGATATATTATTATTGTATTAAGCAATGAGAATATACTGTATATATGTCAATGGTTTACCAGTTTTTGCCTTTGCTTTAGTTCGTATATTTCCAAATTCATCCTTTTGAATTCTAAAAAGGCAAAATTCCCTATAAAAATTTTTTTTATTCGTATTAAGAAATGAATAATTTCAAATAATAATATAATCATATATTGTCATAAGAAGAATTATAATACTGTAATATATCAGTATAATACACTATTTCTGCAACGTCTTCAACATCTTCACTAATTACAACATCTCTCAACTCCATTCGGGCCCTAGCTTGCGATAATCGAATCATTGTTTCTAATTGTCGGATTGTTATTGGTGTCCCATCCACAAATTGATATTTATGTCCCATATTCCCGAAAAATATCTTGATCATTTCGCGTGCTTCTTGTGAAAGACTTAAAAGGACAAATAAAAATTTAGAGAAAAAAGAATAAAAGATGAACATTACTTAAAGTACCGGGAACCAACAATGATATGTACCGTGGATGAACATATTTACGCGCATATGCGATATATTTTTGTAAAAGTGGTATAGGTAGCACATTCATATTTTCATCTTCCGTGCTAATCTTTAATCGTTTAGATAATGGCAAGATACCAATTAAATGACTTCTATTTGTATCACTCGTTGAAGGAACTATAAATTATTAGGTTGTTAATTCCTGTGAATAAACTTGATGTAACTAAAAATCATTAGATATACTACCGTATCTTTGTGATTTGTCTGATTTGTCTTCTGGATAAACACCAGAATGAACCTATAGAAAAAAATATGAAACCTATTCGTCGAAATCTTTACAACGTAAAAAACTAATAACAACCGTCATGAAGCGTTCAGAAAGATAATGATCCATTTCTTCATCTGGAATATCCAATAATAAGAAAATGAGGTCGAAATTTGATAAAAGATCGTTTCCAATTTTAAGATTTTCTGATAGTAATTTAGTTTTGCTATAATATTATAACATATATTATAATATATAAATTTAATTTATTATTAGTAATCATTAGTAATCATACTGAATCTGTTTCATTTAAATCTTTACTTGTAATGTCCACCAACTGGGCTGGCTGATGCTCTAATAGTTTGAAAGATATTATTATTCAGTATTAGAGGATTTGATTAAGTAAATGGAGAAATTAAATGAAATATTCACATTATACTAGTTCGAGCGGTTAATGTACATGTTACACCGGCTTTGCAAACCCTGTTTAAAAAAAAGTAATAACTGTGTTAAAGAGTGTATAAGGCTGGTTTAAACAAATAGAAATTCGCTACAAACGAGATTGTTCGTCTAGAAATTGCTTCCGCAAGAGCATTAGGCTGATTTATCTTTTCAAAATCATCAATTCGGCAAATTCCTGTATTGCTCATTATAAATGATCCTATAACATTTATATTTCATACTCTAAACATTTATTAAAATCTTATTATAAAATTAATAAAATTATACGCTGTTAACAAACCAGCTTCAAGAATTAAATCTCCTGATCGTTTATCATAGTGCAATAAAGGCATTAAGGGAGAACTGTTGGCTTGAGTTATTGGTATGAATACAGTATGTGGAGCTACTTTGCTTGCTGCATCGAGAAGTTCTGTTTTATCCGTACCGGGATCGCCTTTTACGTATAGTATGTTAAATGAAATATATACCACATAAAATTATCGATGTAACGCTTGATACGAACCAACAATTAAGACATTAATTACACTATTATCGATTCCACCAAATATAGCTAATAATATTCCAGCTACGATATCAGAGTACAAATTAGTAAATATACACCAATAAAATTCTTCATAATAACAATTATTTACCTTTAACAATTTCATGTCCGTAAACATTCGGACAAAATGAATTAACTATTTGCTGTTATATATTAAATAATTAATTAACATTTATTTTTCAATAGTTTATGTTTTAATTTCATAATACCTTGAAAAGATCATCAGATTGATAGTCAATGATATGTTTTATTTTATAAAAATCAGTTAACGAAAAATATGTATCCTCGGGATTCGTAATATTTTCGCGACAGTCACATGAAAAGTTTTCAAAAATTATGTTTTTCTTGATGTTAAAAGCATCAATATAAAGATGATGCATCATAGAACCCTTTGTTTTTTCATTAACTAACAAATGACCATTAATTTACATCAATTAACCAATTGCATCATCATCCGTGAAGATTATTACCTGGAATTTCATGAACTTCTAGTTTACCAGTAACGGAAACGAAGTCACCTGGTTTGACATTATCCACCAATTCGTCACGTAATTCACAATCAATGGTCATTGGAATAGTAGCAGCTTCTCCATTACCATTCCATACTTCCTGAAGTCTTTACCATTCAATAAATAAATTTAAGTTCAACAGCAATGATTATTTTATAATCTTCAAATAATAACAACTCTACCTAATAATTTGCCAATCAGCAAATTCTTTTTTATTTGTTTCTTCATTATACTCTAGCATAGGAGTAAACTCTTTGCTTTTACACCCCAAAGTTTTACACTTGAATGGAAAATAGTACTTTCCACCGCCGAATTCTAAAGTTTGACAGATATTACATTCCGTACACATAAAAGTGATTTCGGACGCGTATAACTTTATTCCAGAAGAGTATGTTACTGCGCCTCTGACAGATACTGTTTTGCCTGTTTTTATGATAAAAAAAAACCCTGTTAAAATATATATATCTCTTTCTTTTTTTCAAAAAAACCTTTGAATTTTCTCTTCATTCCACCTATTAAATTTTCCGTCAAGTCTTTAATGGCAGTATATTTCTTATTTAAAGTATCATTATCTTCAAAAGGTAAAGAATTTGAAGGATGACTTTTTTTTGAAAAATTACAGTCATTCGAATCATTGAAAATATTGGATCTACGATTATGGTAGTTCATCTCGTAATTATTATCTCTTTCAATATTCAAATCTTAGATGACAATCAAACGTTTTCTCCTTTCTCCTCATATACTCGTGGAATAGATTTTTATCATATGAGGGTTTGAATGATGCACATATGATCTAATAAATAACGTGTACGATAAATATTCGGATATAAGTAATAGTTATACACTGAGTGGCATGGGTATAAGCGGAATTTCATTTCCAGAACACAGTGTATGACAATAGTTAAATTCAATGAATATTCGGTGATAATATGTATTTCTTTTTCACCATGAAAATTTAAACTTGCGAACGTTTACTATTATACTACACTTTCATTATTTTATTCTCATTAATTAATTAATTTGTTACAATATTCACGTTAAGTTGGTGAGTATAAAGATTGGTAATTTGAATACTCATTATACCCTAATTTCGCATTACAGCTGTTCTCATAAATTCTGGGACAAACTCTTAATGATTTATAATATAATATACTGTATATACTCTATATAGCCTAGTATATATTAAAAATATATTCAATTTTTTGACCGATATCTGGATGATAAATATTCGGATACTTATTATTGACAAAGCTAGATCTCTATCACGCCAATTCTACAGATGGGCGGGCACCTTACGCAAATCATACACTTTTGATACTCCTACACCTACTTTTTTGATACACCCTAAAAATTTTTATCACCATCAAAAATTCACCCAACGTGATGATCGACATACGAATACTACAAAAAAAATTTTTTAAAAAATTCTTTATAGCGATACAATGTTTTCTTCAGAAAACTTTATCTTTAAAAAAACTTATACTGTATGAATATCGGTTTAAAAAAAAAATTTTATTGTGGCAAAAAGTTTGATATATAATCTTAGTTAAAAACTTTGCGTGACCAAATCAAAAAATTAAGAAGTTTTAAAATGTGTTAAAGAAATTGCCAAATTTAAATTTTTATTTCGCGAATCGTGTAGGCTAAGAAGAAATTCATTTTTTTAATAGATCTACACGTGATATCAGCATGAGAATTTTTAGGGTCATCAGGGTGTATCAAAAAAAGTAGGCGCAAGAGTATCAAAAATGTATATTTGCGGCTCTTACAACTACTTACAGACAGTTGTTCATATGATCAAAATCCATGGGGGTAGGACCTCGGATAATATAATAGATGTGGAATTATTAAACCGGACAAGAAATTTCAGAGATTATATTATTAAAAAGGCTTTTTAATTGAAGCTAGTATATTTAAACCGGCATTAGTAAAAAAGAGTCATGTGCTTAAAGCGGTCATGATTTTTATTGAAATAAATACCTGGTATTATAAAAGAATCTATATATCATATTTTCAAGAAGTTCCGAATTAGAAAAACGAGAGAACCTAAAATGCGAGCAAGGTTGGGCTGAAAATTCCCGAAATAAATTATATGTTATATAATTAGACGGGGCGCATAATCGGAATTTAGAAGGTACAAGGCTTGAAGTAGACAAAGCGGACAAAATGCCTGAAAATTGGTTTCATCAAAGTAGATCAAAGTTAGTTTCATATGAGTGGCGCCAAGGGAAAAACTAATTTCCTATTTAATTCTAATTTTAACTATTCCGAACCTATTGCAATTATCTCTGACGCATTATAGCGATCCAAAAAAAAAGTTTTTAATATTTGTATACTCAAGAGTAGTTATAATTTAAAGTTTATTTGAAACAAAAATTTGCACATCATATGAAATTTAATTAAATCCCAATTTATTAATCGCCATCATCAGTCAATCATAGTAATATAATCCTTTCTATACACTAGTCTTTCTTGGCAAGATCATATGCCTGGAAGACTTTTGTAGCGCTTACGTACGTACCTTTTATTCTTGTCACGGGCTAAAAGTAACACTTCAGAAATTATGATGAATTGCATCTCGAAAACAGGTTCTAAAAGGATTCACTCCTTTTTGCAAACTGCTATAATCACAGTCAACTACAGAAATCACCTTTAGTCACCACAGAATATCACTGAATCCTAAAAAATGTGCAAAATACCACAGAATTCCAAAATATTGTAAGAGTTGACCATAAATTCAAACCAGGAGCCAGGAACACTCAGAAAGGTATACACTAAATCAACATAAATTACGAGCGTGTTAATCAGCCTGGTCACTATATCAATATCGCAGGGTATAGTTATACATTGGGTTCTGCAGAAATTTCATTTCCGTTTATACCCATGCCACCCAGTGTATAACTATTACATACGGTTTAGATAAATAAATTTTTATTTATAATTACAAAAATTATAAAATACAGTAGCACCACAGACTGCACAGATATTAGTGAAAGTTTTATCACATTTGAATCACAGAATTTGTCTTAACTACAAACAGAATTTAATCTTAACCACTACAAAAAATCATCAAGTCCAGGAATTATCGTCCCTGATTAAGAATTTATAAATGTCAAAGATGATAATGGGTAAATGAATTTGAAAGTAGGACTGTTAATGGAGTGATCCAAAGTGGTGTGGTATATACTCTGCCAGAATAACCATCAAAATCAAACCATACCAGAGCTATTACTCCAAATTAAACTCTATAATGCGTAGTATATTTTTAGAATTTGCTATCTAGAATAACTAGAGGTCTAATCCGGTCGAAGAATAAGTATTCGAATATTCATTAGCAAATCTCAAATGTATTATGAAGTTGAATAATTGAGAAATACACAAGCTAACAAATGAGTCTTATTATTATATTTTTTCTGGAGCAGTATTAATAGTAGCTAGAGTATTAACTATTCTATTCGACTTTTATAGCAATCTGAAATAGTATAGTATAAACATGTTGTAGTTTATATTTCTAATCGTTTAGAAGCATAATATAGTATTTTATTAATAGCTTTATTTAAAAAGTAATTATCATCGGGAGAATTAAATAAGTGCAAATCTACAAAATGCAGATTTTTACAGGATTTTTTGCAAAAAACTGCAAAATTTTTCATATTTTGAAATTTTGCGCAGATTTGTATTTAATTTCTGTAGCTATAGCTGGTGAGTCTGAAGTTTTGCACAGATTTTCATTTAATTTATTATTTAATTTTTTTGCAAATCTGCGCAGAACAGCACTAAAAATTTTTCCCGATGTCATATATATTTCTAGTATAGTTGAATATTTCTAAAAATAAGCTACCCTTTCTTTTTTAAGTTTTATATTTGAATATAAGAAATTTATATCTAAAAATAAGCCACTCTAGATTTTTTTGATTTTTTTAATATTGGCTAATTTATTTCTTATAATAATAAGCTATAGCTTTAATCAAATTTGCAAATTATTTGTCTTAGTTTAAAATTACAGTATTTGACTTCAAAGCTGATTAAATAATTTGTAAATTTAATTAAAATTACAGTTTATAGATTTTTTATTTATTAAATTTTACAAAATTACTAATATAAAATAATAAATTATTATTTTTTTATTTTTATTTTTTGGTAATTCTTTTTTATTTATTAAAGTTTATAGTATAATACTGTATTTATATTTTGTATTTAATATCTATATATTATTTAATTAAATAAAGGCTAGTATTTAGATATATAGATAGAAGTAAAATTTTTTTTTTATTATTTTTTTTTTCCTTCGGCAAGTCTTGCCAAGACTCTATCCTCCAGTTATATACCCAACCCGAAGGCTGTTTACTGCATACATTTTTCCTGCACGGGGTTCAGTCCAGACCTGGTACCACTTTGGATACCCGGATTCGACCGCCTGCACCAACGTCCGGAGATGTCAGATCACCTTTCTATTGTACTGGGATTTCACCAGCCAATCCGGTGTCACCACGAGTTCTTGTAGTATCTTTATCAGACTTTGGCTTCACATTACATCTCATGACTTCGGTTATTCCAAATCGGGGGTTCTAACACGTCTCGTTTTACAGCCACAACTTCTCGAAATAACTATTCTCTGAATACGTCTATCCGTAGATATCCTGGGTTCCCTGTACCCCGTGGTGTTTCACTTCCGTTTTTGAATTTTCATTAATCTGCTGTTGGGAGGAATTGAATCGACAACTGTCCGATTTGCAACCTGGGAGCATAACTGCTATGCTATCGACCCACAGGTCATAGATAGAAGTAAAATTAAAATTTAATTTTATAATATTTCAATAGTTAAAATTTTTGGCCTTTATATAGCATCATCAAAAATCATAGCTATCTTCCAACTTGAAAAATTCCTAAATAGGTTTTTAGTTATTCTAGTCTTTTAAATTTATTTTTGTATCATAGCTTCTATTTTAAATAGTGTTACCAAAATTACAAATTTCTAGATCAAACTAATTGTTAATAGCTATCCAACTATATCACAATTTATTTTTTAAAATTATCATTTATAGGATTCAAACTCTAGATCTGTTACTTAGAAAGAGTGATAACTAGACCACTACACTAAGTTATCACACTTTTTGTTAAAACTAAAATTATTTTAATAGCTAAAATTAATTTAGCTAGTGTTAAAATTTTTTTTCCAAATAGTTATATCAAAATTTTATTATAACTATAATATTTATATATAGCAATACTGTTTTAAAATATAATTTATCTAGTTGCTATTTAAATATATATATATAACTTGCTAGAATAAAAGCAGTTTTTTTGTTTCTTTTCAATCTATTCTAAATTTCAAATTTACAATTTACTAATTAAAATTTGCTAATTTATCATAACTATTAAATTTTTTTATTTTTTATTTTTTTTTTTTAAGCGATTCTGCTTTTATTATTCTAAACTGCTATATAAATACACTGTAACAAAGTACATATGTTTTTCATATAGTAAATAGTTCTAATCTAATAAAAACTCACCAGATATACCTAAATACTATCTAATGCAACTTGCTATAACAACTATTAGTCTCACTCAGGATCTAAAACTTGCTTCAGATTTTGTATTATCAAAGGATACCCCTCTCAATCATTTGACAGGTTGTTGTATACCATATTAGGATCTCTTTTTTCTCTTCTAATTCCTTAAAAAGAAATTTAAAACCCTGATGGCACTATTATAACCCATATATGGCTAATAAAAATTATATAACAAACACAACTACTGTAAAGCTTCGCCTTAATATTAAATTTACTTTCTGACCTTTCTACCAACTTCGGATAACTTCGTTGCCTGCCCTAATTTGTATCTCGAGCCAGGTACTACCATTGTCTGAAGACCTGTGTCTCAAGCCACCTGCTGCTATAATTAGAGTTTCTAGGCTTGTAAACAAACATGTGGTTGCATTTCACTAATCCATCTGAATTTGGGAAGTAAACAATGCCAATCTTTTAAAGAGGGTAAGCCAAATCCTCACTTTTTGTTGAAATTTTTTAAAAGATTGACGGAAAGATGAGAGAAAGTAAAAAGGTACCACTTGACCAAGTAAAAAAAGTGCAGCTTGAAGAAAATAACCAGATATTTTGTTGTTTCCTAGTATCTTTAAAAAAGTATAGCCTAAAAGCTTCGTCAATAGAGAAAGAGAGGTGTCTAAAGTAGAGGTTCTAACCAGATGAATCCATTATCCATTTATCTGATAAGATATATCCAGATATCTATCTTTTTAATTTGGATATCCAAATAGATTAACTAAATTATCCAAACATATTAGAAGTTAATTAATATATTTAAGTGTATTGAGGTATATTTATCCAAATATCTGAGCATAGTGCTAAAAAAAGAGTTAAATTTAACAAATACTTACCAAAAAATTAATTATCTCACAAATTATTGTCCAGAATCAGTTGATTTTGATACCATTTAACTCGACTTAATAAGATAAATCGAATGGTATAAAAATCAAATAATTCTGATTAGTAATTCACAAGATAATAATTTTTTTGGAAGAAATTTATTTTGTTTTATTTTTAGCTAGCATTGGTTCAAGTTTTGCCTTTTATTTTCAACTAGCATTAGTAGAAGATTCCAGAATTAACTTAATTTGAAAATAAGTAAAAGTTAAAAATAGTCCAATTTCTGATTTAAAAAATTGAAAGGCACATTTAGTGGAAAATTAAAGAATTATTCGATTTGTGATCTTATTGCAGGATCAGCAACCTCATAAAGGATCATTCGATCTATGACTTCATTCTGGCATCACCAGGTCCAGTGACTTTGATGATCATGAGGCAGGTAATCCTTGCGATAATATCTTCTGTGCTTTCGTCAAAATATGCTTGTGTTTAGTCTGTATAAAAATTTATTACGAATATTGTTTTTGCCTCTTAACAATAAACATAAAAAAGAGTTTTAAATATAAGATAAGCTTTCATAATAAGTATAGACGCTAATAAAAAAAAAGTTTAATACAAATGAGAAATTATAACTGAAGAACCTGAAATGTCTAACTCTCCTTTAAGTAATAGCAACTTATCTAATCTAATATAATATAATATTAACTTATTTGAAGCGCAAAAATAAAGTGATATAAGTATGCCAACTAGCATCTTTTGAAATAAAGAGTATTAAAAAAAAAGAAAAAACAAAAAATAATATCAATATACATTACCTCCATCATTCAGTTAATTTTTACTAGATGTTCCAAATTTGAAAACAGCTATAATTCTGAAACCTCATAGTATTGGAATTTACTGGGCTAAACTTGAAAAATGCCATAATAGAAAATAAACTATATATACATTGTCCTATTCAGTTGTAATGATATATATTCGAAATACCACTCAAATTTGTTTTTTTTTTTACATGCTAACAACTCGAATAATTGCCCACCTACAAAAGAGATGAAAATGAATTGAGTTTGATTTGTAATCTACTAAAAAATATAATTATAAAACTCCTACTTCCAATTTGCAAAATAACAAAATTTAGACCTCAGATTTCTAGTTGAAGTAAGAACATTTCAATTAAAAAGTTCTATTCATTACAGTACTTATAGCTATCTTGACACTCTTAATATAGTTGCTAAAGTTAAAGTTAAATAATTAAATACCGTATGGCACTGACTACAGTACCCTGGTTACTTTTCAATAAACCATCAAGTTTTTTGAATAGTACTCACCTAGGTACTAATTATGGAGGAGGGTATTATAATAGGGGGTACTTTATATAGATTCAATATTATTTACTAGTAATAAGAATTTTAAATCTAAGTGTATATATAGTATCTATACCCGGGTCTTTTTCAATTTCCTGAATCATGAACCCATGAATTGTACCTGGATTTTTTCTATTGGGTATTATAGCAGGAGGATACTGTAATCAGTGCTATACGGTACATAATCGATTGATTTATTATTCATGCTAATGAAAGTTAATTTTACTTGCATTCAGAATATTAGTATTAGTAAAAAATAAATAAATAAATAAAAATAGCAACTTAAAAAATAGAAAAAGTATATATTTTTTTTCATATTATAGGTTGAGTGTCGATAAATTCACATACTGATAGATTAATTTTCATTTTCAAGGCAACAATTAATTTAAACCCAAGTATCATTATAATGCGCATATTTTCTATAAATAGGATTCTTCTTTATAACCATTAGTTGAATTAGATTTCATATTATTACATTTTCGCTTTATTTATGGAATTTATCAAACAAATAAAGGCTTAGTAAGTTTAAATTATAAATCAAAAACTCATATATAGCATAGAATTTATATCAAACTTAATTATATAAAGATCCACTAATTTTGCAGTATGTCAACAAGGAACTAGAATTTAGAATTCTTCCAATTGACTATTGATATCTAAGATTCACAAACCACCAAGATCCTCATCATCATTTTAATCACCAAAAATTAATTTAAATGATTAATATCTCACAGAAACATTTGTACTTAAAACACATATCTGTTAAATGACATACTTAATATCGCTAAGAAATAATTGCTGATAGGAGGTGTTGGGCTAGATATACTCTAATTAGATTTCAACTTTAGATTATTGGCTGTTAAGGTGATAAAGTTATAATAACCCATAGGGAGCTTCAGAATTAATGTTCAGATATCTGATTTTAGATAAAGTAAGTTACATATTTATTTCAAAACAAGTAATATATAAATCTTTTTTTTTAAAGTGTATACTTATTTACATAATCACTTGCTAGTAGATATTTATCAAAAAAGATCTAATCTTTTCACTGGATATGCCTATTTAATTTTTAGATTTAGCAGAAAATAACCTCATTGTAATTTCCACTTATTTACGAAATAAGCTAATTCTGAAATTCTCTAATATATAAAATATATATCACTTACATTATTCATTGGTATATATTTAATAACCAAATCAACTTGAAAATGGATTGGCAGCTTTACTTAAGCTCCATGATAATGTTAATGTATGGGATATCAAAGATCACGAACCAACAAGCTATAATAATGGCAATCATAAAGCATTTTCTCTATCACTCGGTATACTTCCAACAGGTATGATATTTTTTTACACTCATATGCTAAAGTATCTCAAATAAATGAATTAAGTAGTAAATAATTATGAACTTGAATATATCTAATAAATGTTCTCTATACTCACATGTATTGTATAGACTTTTTTTTAATAATAAAAATTATTCAGAACCAATGTGAAAATATATGCTACAGCTAGCACTGAAACATTCTTATTACAATAATAACTACAAAACATACTAATCTAAAATAAGTCAACTAAAAAATTATCAATCTAAATTACTTAACAGGTAAAGTATGTACATACGTCAGCATATATGAAATCAATTTATATGATTTATATGGGTTCAATTATGATCTACATACTGCATTCTTGATATCTATATATAAAAAACCTTCTAACCGTAATCTAACCTTAACTAAATTTAGCTTCACCTCCGATAACAATGAAAGATTATTAACACAGATAAATGTTATCTATATATTTTTTATTTCTCTTTAAAAACATTAACCGTTTAAATAACAAAGAGCTTATACAAGTTCTTTTTGCAGTTATTAAGTTCTCTGCATCAGAGAACAGCTATTTACTAGCTGTTGAGGATGCAAAAACAGATAAATATTTTTTTGCCAGCCTACTCAAAACTGAAAATTTATTACGCTGCTCATGCCACTACGCGAAAAGATTACAGTCAATTTCAATTTCTTCAAGCTTCAAATAATCAGAAATCTCTTCAACTATAGCTGGTGTATACTTTTTAAAGCTGGAAAAAATACTTTTACTTTTAGTATTTTTTTTTACTAGAGTTGATTTAACCTCTGTTCTAATTATATTTTTTTTTTCTCTATCCATGCTATTTTTTATCTTATCATACTCTTCACGAAGGAGATTTTCTGTATTGAACCATTCATCAAACATGGCAAAAGAAAGATTTTTACATCTTGGATCCAGAAGACTAAGTAAAAGTGAATTTGGTGATATTAAATTGGACCAATAATAGTTCATTGCATTATATAAATTACTTTTAATTTCATTAGTATTTATATCAATCGGCATATAAGCTTGTTTATTCTCCTCTTCTTTATCACTACTGGCATTGTCAAACAAGTCTTGGTTGTCATCATCATCATCATTATTAATTTCTGCTATAATAATATCATTATTAGAAGCTGATGGCCGACAATTTTTCTTAAGCTCAAATAAAATAGAAACCTTTATTGAATTGGTGCAGTAATTGCTGCCACCTAAATAATCAATAGCCTTGGCAAATGGTTGAAGAATCTCCACTAAATTATTTATCATATCCTACTCATTTTTGGAAAGTAAAATTTTTTTTAAATATTTGAAGTCTCTTTTGGTATTAGGGTCAGATTTTGTAGAAAGTAAATTTACAAGAATACTAATATGGTTTTTTAATTTAAGAAGTCTATTCCAGACGAGATAAGAGGAATTCCATCACATTGGGTAATCAGCAATGACACATAAGTATTCTAAAACTTTTTTGACGTGCTAATAGATTAGAATATATAGATTAAAATTATTATAATTATTATATAATAATAATTATTATTATTATTTTATAAATATATATATCTCAGAATTATTTTTATTATTATCACTATCATCACTTTCATCACTTTCATTACTTTCATTTTCAAGATCGTTTATATTTTGAATTTCAGAAAATTTAATTTGAACTTCTTCAAGCCTTTCGCTTTGTTTAGACTGTATAAAAAACTTAATTAAACGTTTGGCCCTTTTAATTAATACTCTTGCTAAAATTAGTCCCTTTGTGACTACAAGTTGTAGAGTATGCAACATACAGTTTAGCCAATTGATATTTTTTATGTCTAAAATGACTTTTTTATATTATGACTATTGTCCGTTGTAATAATGAAAGTTTTGTTCTGGATTTGCCATTCATTTATAGTAGCTTCTAATATTTCATTTATATAGTCAGCTGTGTGAGGATATTGAATATATTTTATCATAAGGGCAACTTCACACATCTTATAGTCATTATTAATAAAGGAGCAAGTAATGCTGAGATATCCATGATGGCTGCGAGCCATTCATAAATCCATATACAAAGATACAGAAACTAGTTGAATTTGTCAAAATTCGGGATGTTTTTTATTTGATATAACTTGTTTATTAATCTAAATTAAGATTTTTTATTAATTAAAATTTTATTAATTAACTAACTAATATAGGTAATATATTTAATTACAAACTTTAATTTTTCCAGATTTGGTAATTTCGTGTATATTCCTAAAATGTTGAATTGCATTTCCCATTGACCTGCTTGTATAAACATATGGTACATTATATATAGAATCGTCATCCTTTTTTAGTTTACAAATGATCACTGGAACTTCTTCACCATCTTCATCTCAAATTTTATCTTTTTCGAAGTATTGCCAGATCCAACTAATCTTTTTGTGCTTTACACTTTTGTTTAAATTTTTTTTTCTTTTATTTGATTTATTTGAATTAGATAAATTATCAGTAGGATGTTTTTCTGCCATTTTTTTAAAAAAATAATGTGAAAACAAAAAAAACAAAAAATAACTACATATATATATTTAATTTAACAATTATAATTTAAAAATATTATAATCTTTTATAATTTACATTCAGATTAAAAGAATTGTGCTAGATAACAGGTTCTTTATTACTTTTATTAATATTGATTATTTTTCAGAATAGGCAGAAATAATTAATATTTCCAAGACATGCTTTATAGTCTACATGTGTGCTATTTGTAAAATACTCCTATTATTACTTTGTTTAAAATTTTCAGAATAACATAAAAGGTCCAATAATAGCACTGTATTCTGCAATGTAGAATACTCACATCGACAGTATCTCCTTGATTTATACCAGGTATATTATAAGATCTATAACTTGCATATTTTGTACAAGACCCGGGCATACTAGATGAAGGTTTATGCACAGTATACCAGAGGTATAAAACCAGTATAGATTGTAAGGGACCCTGGGTTTTTTAAATATGCATTAAAATTAACAGAAATAATTAAATCTGTATTAGTGTTTGTAGTCAAGCTATTTAATCTAACCTAGTGATATAAACTAAACCTGAATAGGATAATTTGGAACTTTTACCCACATTACTTAATTATTTATTTTATAATTCACGCTTTAGCCAGTGATGCATAAGTTTGGATTATAAGCAGTTACAACACATTTGTTGAGGAATCCACTAAACTTAAACAACCGAGTTTGGTTTACACTCCTGGTTTAGTTGATAACAGACCTAGTCGACTAAATAATTTTATAGGCTATTGTTTGTAATAAATATTATTAGTTAATGAATATGTATGAAGGTTATTGTTCATAAAAAACAATAATACTGTAAGTAGATATATAATAATATTTTGAATACAAACTCCAAATGACAGCCAATTAAAATGAATTTTTTATCATTGAACAGTTAGTCAATCGACTACAATCACTTGTATGTATGGGTTAAATAGGCAAGTAATAGGTAAGTACTGTATATATATATATCTAGTATGTATATACGTACCAGGTCATAAAATATCTGGATTTATTACACAGATGCCTATTGTGTTTTAAAGTATTATTTTGATATAAATGGTTAGAAGATTATTGTAAATCTAATACAATATTTATATCAATATAGAAAAATTCATGCTTAGATGAATTTCTTATTAGAAATATCAATGATTGATCATTTTGATGCAATATTGATATATATTAGAAGATATCAAATATCAATGATTGATTATTTTGATACAATATTGATATATTTACCAAAAATTGTGTACAATATTGTGTTAAATCGTAATATGTTAATGTGCAATAAAAATTTTACCATGAATAAATTATGCACTTGGAAATATAATAATAAAAATCAATTTTGGTTAAAACTTACTAAGCATGGTTTTGCTATACACCAACCTATATATCAATTTTTTTTTATCCAATCGAATTTAGTATATCAGTGGAATTAAAATGATACTTTTGGAGTGGCTAGTAAATAGTATTTTATGTGGTTTAAATATGCAGGTATAGGTAGGTACCTATATTAATTTTTATGTGGTGTACAATGACATGATTTAAAATTTTTTAATTGCAAAAAATCGCATCAAGCCAGGTACGTACCTTATATGGAAAATTACAAAAGCCATATCATTATTATATGACCAAGGTCATATAAAAAAACTGGTACGTATGACTTAGATTCGGCCAACACTGTGTACATGTATATGTACATACGTATATATATATCAAGTATGATATGTGGAAAATTACATGCACTACCAATGTGTTCAACAAATACCAAATAGAGAACAAGTATTTTCATACCACATATAGTGAAATTCATATTACATTAGGGTCATAATAATTTCGTAATTAATTTGAGCATGTGAACAATGTAGTCATAGTTTGGTAATTAATTTGAGTAATTAATTAATCAATTAGTAAGGGGATTAGATGTGGATTAGAGAGGGGATAATATATAATGTAGAAATGTAATTAGTGAAAGGTATTGATTCTCTCTCATATCAATAACAATAAAAGCACAAAATCTTTTACTATAAAAATCTCTCTTTGGTATATTTTCTTCAAATAAATAAATAAATAAGTAATAACATCTATATATAAGTTAATAAATGATATACGTAAACAGAGTAAAGTATAAAAGTAAAATGCATACATCCCTTGATGCCCAAAGCAAAACTCTAACCCATCGGTCTAAATATTTAGAGAGTAGAAGGAAATGCAATTAATCTAATTATTGGATTTATTGGAAATATTCAGATCAGAATCTATGTATTAAAAATAAATTAAATAAAGTACTTTTTACCTTCATCAAAGGTTTTGTAGTCATTCTTCTCAATAGATTTGGTCAAAATTCTGACAAACAGAATCCTAAAAAATTGACTGAAATTATAGCCAAATGCTAACCTAATGCGGACTAACTTTTACTTTGCTGAGGTTTTGTTTGTCAGGATTTTGATTTAAATCTCTTCTCGACACCTATTCTATTACAACAATATTTGCCAAAATACAATATTAAGCGTGCTTTTAATAATAAATGTCTCATATCCATCATTTTTATATCTCCAAAAAGCCCTCTAATTATTTTATAATATACAAAGACAGATATCTTAAAGTTAAATTGAAATATAGAATTGCTACTATAGTTGGTTCTTGTTTCATGATTGTATGGTGCTATTTTTCAAACACCTGTTTTATAAATTAATATAATTTAATAAATCTGCATTTGATACTTTATTAAAAATTTTAATTAGATTTATATGAATTTTGTCGCAAACCCATACCATATAGCTGCAGAATAACGCACATGTAAAGAGCTTGGTGTGTGAAATTCAAATTTAATTTTATGTTCTTACAAAAACATTCATATAATAGATTTTGAAATTTTTTATATTCTCAGAGAACATTGAGAACATTGAATTTTACACACTAGAAGGGCTCTGGAATTTCATCTCTACGAATTTTTTTATTTTTATTAGCATTCTTATTTTATTTTTTTTGATATATTGTCTTTGATGTAGTAGCTCCAAAAATAGAATGGAGTATCATTACTTATTGTAGCATTCACGTACTTATTGACCTTTTCGCCTCGAACTTCTTGTACTTTTTACCCTGTACTTATTGAACTTCTTGCATTGTACTTTTCGAACTTTTTGAACTATACTTTTTATATTTTGGATCTAAAAGTAGATCGTAACTACTTGTTTGGTAAAAATATAAAAAAAGTCAGTAGTTGTCGTAGCAACGAAAAAGATATAAATATGAAGCTTTTTGTCGCTTAAATAAAAATATCCCAATTGAGTTCTAAACTTTGAAAAAATAATAGTAGAAGTTGTTCTCTTAAGTCTTGTCATAAAATTGATCATAATAAAAACCATTTTTTGTATATTCTTGTCCCCATGATCTCGTCATAATCGTATTATTAGTTTTTTATAAGAGAAAGAAAAAGAGAATACTAATTAAAATCAAACCCCTTTTATACTAAAAGTCAATAAAACTTCAAATCAATTTCGACATTCTTACCATTAATCTCTTATTATGTCGATCAACTTTATAACCCTGTGACTATATGACAATCGTTATAACTCTTAACAATTGTATTCGAATACTGAGGCCCTATTAAGCTAAAGTCTAGAAGAAGAGTCTTCTTTAACAACCCATCAAAGCATATAATACAAAGAATGTAAATAGAATCCCAGGTTATACTTATCTTAATCTTCAAATACGCTGCAACAAGACCTGAAAAGACCTTGAAATTCAGTCCAAGTCTTTCCATACCTTTTTCTGCTTTCCGCCTCAAAGATTTCGAAGTCTTGGACTGTTACAAGTGGAGTAGCCTTCTTAATTTACCACCTGCAACATAGCACACAGCAACAGGGATCTCTAATACAACAGAACAAGATATGAAGTAGTGTGAAAGCGGAATATTTCCTCACTAGGGCAGTTTGGTATATTCATTAGAAGCATAGAGACATGGTTTACTTTAGAGCAAAGATATGTTTATTTATTTATAATACAATGTCT